CTGGCATCAAACTGTGTCGATGTACAACAATCTATATAAATACGTTTCCAAAAAATTCTGCTAAAATATAAAGTTTGATTTGTAGAGCATTTATTAGTAGATTTGTGACTACTACTCAACTTTTGTTTCATAACTATAAGTATTTTCTCCTGCCTTCTTAGCATACCTTCATGTCAGCACGCACGGCGTGTATTCGAGAGGTTGGTGGTTAGAGTCCGGCGAAGGCATTGCTCCTTTCACATGTCCTGCTTCGAAATAACTAATGTTTTATAGTGCATACCTGCCAACCTCTAAAGAAAAAATTCAGAAGATTTCTCCCCCAAATTCGAAGATTTCTCAAAATTCAGAAGAACACGAAGAATTAATATCATGCTTTAAAACAAAATAACAATTTATAAAAATAGAAAAAAGAAAATTGTACTTACATTAGTAAATCTCAATTAAGTAGTAACTAAAAAATTTATTAGGAAACATAAAACAAGAGCTTAATGTTACACAAAAAAATTATTGCAATGAATTTAGAGTGCATTTTTTGGGCTTTAGCCAAAAATTCTTGGAATTCATAGTTATTTCCTTTGAAGGATTCTTTAATTGTTGGAAATTCGGCTTTGTAGGCAGGCCGAAAATATTGAGAATACGGTTTTTTTTAACTCATTTCGTAACAACGACGTATTAAAAAATTCGTAGCACGTGCAAACAAAAAAAACAAACAGAATGCGACAATCCACGCTCGCTGAGTCCGAGCTGAGTAATTTCCATGCTGCTGAAGCGAACGCGAAAAAAATAATCTGGCGCCCACAAAGAAAAGAGTGGGAGAAACAAGTTCAGCGCATTGGATTGGCTGGTTAAGCGGCGAGTTGGGAGAAACCGCAGGTTACTGGATTCGAAGTAGTCGGTAGTTGGTGGTAAAACACGATGCAATTGGCGAAAATCGCTAAATTGGTAAAAATTTAAAATTACAAAATTTTAAAAAAATCACTAAAAACACTTGAAAAAAAAAAAAAAATCGTAAAATCGTAAAAGACAAACGCTTTTCGTAAAAATTACGAAAATTCGTAAAAGTTGGCAGGTATGATAGTGGCACCCAAACCAAAAAGGTGGATGATGATTCTCCGCCGCAGGATTGGCGATTCGGTCCCCTAATCCCCATCGCCCTATAACAAGGGGATGAGTGAATATAGGTATTTCTCCCGACCTTTTAGCATGCCTTCGTGGTCTCAGTACGCTCGGCGCGCATTCGAGAAGTCCGTGGTTCGCGTCCCGGGTAGGCATCGCTCATTTCATGTTTCTTGCTGTAAAAAAAAAAAAAAAATTTAATGTCTCTACAAACCTTCCATCATCAGTAGTAATAAAGTCATGAGCATAGGGGGTAGGGGGGAAGGAATTTTAAAGAAAGATATTTTTACAAATGACTCAAAATTTCTGAGACCGTATAAGTAGTTATATCCTCAAATAATTAAATATTGACCTAATTTACCAGTATTTCTGTATAAATAAAACATAATTAAATATCTTTAATGAGTATCATAGATAGTGGAGCACATCGAGTGAGCTCACAATATTTTCAAAAGCAGGCCACTTTGACAAATGAAAGAACTGTTGGAATCCTATGAATGTCACACGTTTCATAATGCCAAGAATGTTATAAAAATAACAGTTATGACTATATCAACACTACCGATCTTCAAAGTGCTTAAAAATGAGCTGTTCCAAAAATTGTATTCAGTTCATTCACGTGTTTAATCAAAAGCTCGTCGTGATTTTTGAAACTATCGATAAGCTATTGAATTCAGATTTTGTACAATTATGTTTACGGATGAATAATTCGATTTAGAGTTTTAAATTTAATGTCGAGAAATTTTTTGCGCATATTCCATTTAAGAATAAACTAAAAATCTAAATTTTTTAAGTTTGCATCATTTTACAGAGCGTAAAATAGCTTTTGAAATAAAATTTGCATGAAATTGTAACCTAATTTCTGATTTGGGGGCGAATTTTGTTTTGAATTTATATATTTTTTCGATTATTTGAGGTAAAGGATACTTGGAAGTAAGACTGAACCAAAAGTAATAATAATAATAATTTATCGCATAGATAATGGTAAAGAGATTACTTAATAGCTTCTTTGCTAAATCCTGTACAGTTTTATAAGAAGAATCATAGGTTCTTAAATTACGAAATCAAATAATTGAATGCATTGTCAGATGTAATATTTATAAATTTATCAAACAGCCCTCACGTTTTTATTATTCATGATATAAATTTGTAGAAGAATTTTTTAAAGAGAATTATTTAATCTCGTATTCCCATTAAATTACACGATACATTATTTTAAAAACAAAGGGCGTTAGCCGAGAAGGTCTATTAACTTCATTTTTTCATTTTCCGTTTGAAAACTATGTCAGTTCACTTTTTCAAACTGTTGCTACCACATATTTACAGCCCTGTATTATATTTTTAAAGAAATTAAATAATGATTTTGGTTTATTAGATTACGGCAGAAACTCGAGGGCTATCTGCCTTGAAATTAAATAATGAATAATCTGCATAAATATATGTATGTTTCTCGCATTGTGATAAAAACAACGGTACTAGACCCATCCAATTTTGAATAACGTACATTTCCACCCGAATATGGGCATCTCGAAGCCGAGATTTGGAATTTGTTTTATTATATGTTTCATATTTCGTTAAAACTTCAATGAATTTTTTATTAAGAAACCTCAACGATTTTTAAAGCGAGCAAAGGGGCAACACTGTATGAAAATAATAATATAAAAAATTATCTTCAACGGGCGAGACTGTGTATCGGAAATTCTAAAGATATGCTCATTTAAAATTTATTTTGCGGTATTGCTGTTTAACTGAAGTTTTATGGTTTTGTATGGAAGTTTTATGGTGCGAAGAACATGATATTTAAAAATAAAGGTAACCCACAAACCTTTAAAAAAACGCCCCTTTGGGCGTAATGTAAAATTTGAAAGATGTGCATTTTCAGATTTTTATGTTTGCATATATTACTTTTATTTTTCTCGTTTTAATTCATTAACGCTCTTATAGGTAAACTTTCATTTTGTAAAAATTCTATTTTTTATTCAATAACTGCTCTAAAACGGAAATTCCTTAAATACCTTTATATATGCATCCACTTTGTAACTGGTAATAAATTTGTTTCTTTAGAGTCAGTGTAGGCCTTTATCCCAAAACATCAAGATTTCTCCCCACGCTAAAGACAGCCATTACCCATTGTTGTCAGGATTGCATGGACCCTTGTCCCCTTAGGCATTGGGGGTTGGAAGACATACAAAAATACGGGCTAGTCCTTTTTGGCGTGTTTTTTCGATAATACAAAAACACGGGACTGTCCGTTTTCGAGGGTACATTTAAACTAACAATAATCCGTAACGAACCGTTAAGAGACCTGCATAAAAGAACGAGAAAATCCGGGTAAAATCGTTAATGGGTTAAAATGTGCCAATCCCCGTTTGTTGACAAGGTCGCTATAACCAACAACTACCAAAATTTCTCCTATGCTATTCATCATTAATGACTTCTAAAATTATACCCACCCCTATGCAACACTGATAACTGCAATTTACTTCATAATGCAGATTGACAGCACCATAAAATAGTAAATCACTTTAATGTTATTCTCTGATTAACACAATCTGTCTGTAATGCATGAAAATTTTATAAATTAAATCCATATTTCCATGCACTTAGCTGGTAATTAGTAATACCTTGCAAATAAATTATACATACAATATATTTTTTATCTATAAACAATGAATTTTAGTTAAGGAAAAGAAACAAATTTATATGCATTTAACTTTTCAAACGGTCAACATTAAAAAAACTATTTTTAACCCACAGACATATAAAACAAATTATATTTGCAGATTATACAATTATAAATACAACTGCACATTCAAACAACATTACTTTATGAAATTTGCATCTTATACACCGGCACTTTTTACTCACTTCAGAACTAATGTCACAAGAAAGTAAACAAATACATATAGGATTGAAATACATAGATACAAAACATATACATATAGATACGAAAAATTCTGTTTTTACTTCTTTTCGAATGTTTTAAATAAACAAGTAGAAATGTGCAGAATGTCCCAACGGGGGGAAATGGATAGAACATAAAAAATAAAAAGGTCAGGATAAAGGTAATGCTTTTTACTGTATAACTGTATGACAGTTATTACTATTTAGCAATATATAACTTTACTACTACATCTCGACTGCTCATTTACCATTTGATTGTTACCTTATAAAAAAAGAACTAAACTACTGTGCCCCCCTAAAAAAGGGGGGTTCAATTCTATATCTCCTGTTCTCCTGGGCCTATTCACGAAATTCAACTTGCGTTTTTTATATCTCGAAGGCGCGACTTGGCATATGTATTAGATTTATATATATCATTTTCTAATATAGGTATTTTCACACAAAAATCAGACTTTTTCTGAAAGGAAATGCCAATTTTTTTTGCATATTTCGATTCTACGACTCAAATTATGCTAAACTGCCAAGTTTTGGAAAAATCGCGTGAGTAGTTTTTAAAAAATTAGCTCTCAAAATTTAATCTCCTCAATGTTAATTGAATTTCCTATATATATTTATTAATCTCTCATTTTTTATTAAACTTATTTGATTCTTCCTTTCATATTTCAAAATTTAGGTTCATTCCATATAAAATTCGCGCCCTTTTTTATGATTTATTTTAAAAATTTGTATTTTAAAATAATTTTTCTAAATTTTTTGAAAATATTTTGTATTATAACCTATAAATTTTTAACATCATCTTAAAGTAGATGTATTTCTAAGCATACCTGCAAAAAATACTAAATATACTGCAAAACATACCCACAAATTTTTTAAGATATACGTGAATTTACATTTTGGCGCATTTTGAAATTTGGCATAATTATTATTAGTGATAATAACAAAAATGTGGTTTACACACTTTGTTAAAATTATTTGGTGACTTTTTTTTTTTTTTTTTTTTTTTTTTTTTTGCTCGAGGACAATGAAAAAAAAACGGAAAGGAAAATAGGTTGCTATAAATTAAGAAGTTTGCCAAGTGAATTATTCTTACTAATATCTCCTAACATGTTTCATATAAAGGAATGGAACTTTTTACATTTAACACATAATGAATACTTTACTGACTAGAAGTCTTCCATATGAAAAACACAGTTTTTACAATTACAGCAATTTCCCCTCCATATTATATAAACCATTCTCTTAAAAATTCTCTACCTCATTTTGAAAACTTTGTAATTAAAGTACCTGCCTAGGATCTATGATTGAGGGAATAAACCTTATACCCACCTTCATTAATACTCTTGTATCATTCTAAAATTTTTAATAAAATACCCCCCAAAAAAGACAATTCCATCTCTTATTCACCTCAATGCTAAATTAGAAATTTAAAAGCCATTTTTATCATACAGAAGACATGGGTAATTAAAATAAAATTCTTACATTTTGAACAGACTCTTCAGCAGGCATGTCAAAAACACATCTCAGCTTAGAATCCATAAGGCTCTCAGGTTTGGCTTCTTGCCACTATGAATTAAACAAAATATCACACCAAGCATAATGTTAGATATAAAATATTTAAAAAATGCCCAAACTATAAAGGCGTATTTAAAAAAAGTATGTACTGTCCTTTTTATACCTACAATTTGAGAATTTCAAGATTGTATTACTTCTGCTATTGAGGCATAGCATTTTCCAAATCTAGTACATAATTCAGAAATCGTATAAAATCTGTTTCCTGAATAAAACTGCTTTCACCTTTTGCCCCAAACTTTAAGTAATAATACAGTAATAATTCAAAAATAATGCAACAATTCAATATAATATATATATTGATTTAAATATAAACCAATTTTAGTACTCAATTTTAATCAAAATTAAAATAACTGAAATGTCATACACATACATAAACATTTAGGATAATTAATTTTTTATAACAAATGAAGGTTACAAAAACTGATTGATGAAATAGCATTAATCCATTTCATTAATTAATGATATGGATTAATGAATTAAAACAGAGAATTCAGTAGTATTTAAAATTTAAGCAATTACAACATTATTTGGGGAAAAAACATATGATGCAGCAATATAATTATCTATTCTTGTGCACAACTTTATATTATAATGAAAAATCAAATTCTGCTCTCCTGAAAGCTTGGAAACAAATCTGATATAACTCAGTGATACCATGAATTATGGTTAGCACCAAGATAATTCTGATAATGACTTAATAATGTAAACTTCAGTACGATCACGGATTTTGGTTCTCCTCCATTTTAATTATTAAAACTACTAGATCAGGGGTCGGCAACCTACTGAAATGGAAGAGCCAAAGTTTACAAAATTTCGCAGTTTTTAAAGAGCCACTAAAACTTTTGTTTCAATATTATAGTATATATTATTTCGTTTCAGTAAATATTATTTGAGGAACTTGGAACTTGAGCACTGCAACTTTACATCAAAAGAGTCGCATGCAGCTCGCGAGCCGCAGATTGCCGATCCCTGTATTAGATAACTGATCCACCCTACAATAATTTTATTCTCTTATTTTTATATCAGAATATTCTTGGTAAAATTTTAATGATGCTAACTCTTTACACCAGTAGTAAAAATAATACACATTTCTTTAACATAGGAACTGGATTCCTTCAAACCAATTTTCTATTCTTGACTTTCAATAATAGTCCACAATTCTGAGAACAGCTTACAAATTCCATTTCACTACTTGTAAATTCCAGATTTCCATAGCAAAGAGAAAATATGTAGCATGTCAAAGCTAGTATAATAACATAGCATGTGTTAGAACATACCAAAAACGGAGGGTATGCTTATAGCAGAGAAGCAGAAATTTTGTTTTGCAATTTGCTAACCAAAATTCCCACTATCGTTTGATATTTAAGTAACAAAAAGGATAATGCATTCTTGAGAACTAACAGCACAGCAGCGGAATTTTAAAATAAAAATGGGTACTTACGTATTATCGCAACCAGGTTGGCGCGATTTGTAAGTTTGAGTATAAAAGTATGAATAGAAAGAAAATGTACATTTATTAATTACAGATAATTTTTAATACTGTTTTTTATATTATTTTGTTTTAAAATATAAAATAGCAATTAAACCCTTCCGGTTTCGAATTTGAATAAGTTGCAGAATTATTTTTTCGGTGGAAATCTTTTGGCTATTGCTTTTAGCACTGATTGAAAACCGTCTTCGCCATTAACAGCTTGAGCTTAGCACCACATAAATTCGATAAGGTATGAGTCAAGATGATGACGGGCTGTTCCTCTCTGTTTTTTGTTGCGCCATTTGGCTGAGCCCCACATGCGCTCTACATGTTGTGTGTGAACGCCCGTGTTGGGATCCACAAAGTTATATTTGTGATTAACAGTTCCATGCAAAAATCCAGCATTTTCGAACTCACTTGTATTGTATCCTTTCCAGCAATCCAAATAAATGATGCTTCCTTCCTTGATATTTTCGCAAATTTTTTCCATGAGGGTAACGGCGCTTTTGTTAGGTACAGTAATCAAAAAAGTCTCTTTCTTTTCTCGGCAAATTCTGCCGAAAACCCATTGCTGTGGTAGTACACGCCCAGTGTTATTTTTTATTTTTACAAATAAACTTTCGTCTATTTTCACACACATAGGGTTGCCGTAAGTAGGGTCGCCAAATTTGGCGATTTATGCGAATTTTGGCCTGGTTGCGTTAATACGTAAGTACCTAAAAAATGTTAAGACTCTAGCATTTAGATATAGATTGCTTATGCAACTTTTACAATAAAGACTTAAAACATATTTTACACAACAAATAATAATATTGCTAATGAATAATTCATGATTCCAATGTAAAATAGTACTACTACATTTTTAGAGTAACCAAGTGATATAATTCAGCTCAGAAAACATTTATACAAAAAGGAAAGTCTTATTACCAACTGTAAATATACTCACTACAATATTTTAAGGAAGAAAAAAGATCTGACAATAGAAGCATAAATATACTTACTACAGTATCAAAATTAACATCTCCTTCTGGGATGATAAGCGATTGGACCATAAACTTGTGCTTATTTTTTTCATTTGGATTATAGTCGAATGGTTGTAACATAACTGAAAAATGAATGAAATCAAAATACAACTCTTATGGAACTAAAAATCGATATATATACTTTCAACATCAAGATAAGAGCAATACATAACATTAATACAAATTTAAAATTATGATTATTTGGCTCTTAACTACAATTCCCACACTGACAAATCTCTAAATCTCTTCATTTCGATTGATAACTAAATCTTACTTTTCATAGTATTCCATTATTAGGTTCTCCACTTCCATGGAGTTCTAGATTACCTAATATACATAACTAATGGTTATAGTCATGCATAGCGTTTCTTTCTTCTTTATTTCTCAGATTTTTCTTTCACTGCATTGTACTGCAATTTATTCTCCAGATGTTTCTCCTAGTTTTTGATACAGTTACGAGATTCAAAAATAATTTTCCATTATTCTACTATATTTCCAAGATTTTGTTTGCTTTACTACGTTACCTTTTAACAAGTATCTTGACTTGGATGCCAAGCAAAAAATCTACAGCTATTCTGAATCACTTTTCTCGATCAAGACTGTTGATTTATGTGCAACATAATTTGAAGCAGCATTTTAAAACTCCAACAAGAGTGCTGAATTTAGAAATTCATCTTTCAAACCAGATTTACAAGAAGGTATTTTGCCTCTGGTGTTACTCAATTTGATGCAGTATTTAGCTTTCAAATATTCACGCTGTTTCAGTTTCTTTGCGACTTATCCTTAATCATTTTTTTAATCTTTGTTTACATTTGATTTCACACTCGGGGATTTATCCTTCGGGATTGGTTTTCTTTAGAGATGGGTCTCCTGGTTTTCACCGCTTCCTTTACGACTTCTTTTAAGTAAATTTTTCAGAAATTTCCCATTTCCCCTTGATTTAAATATACCCCCTTTAATCGATATTCTAATTCTTAATAAGTAATAGCTTAGTAGATCAGAAAATTGAATACCTCAAAGGAAAAATACAAGACATTACCTTTTTTTATTTTTTTACTTTGTTTAGAGCATAACTTATGCTTTAAATTATGTTCTTTATTTAGGGCATAAATTATGCTCTAAATAATGTCACGATTACTTCAGAATATCATGGTTAGATAATATTCTGCAAATAATGAATATATTGTGACTAGGCAAGATACACTGAAAGTACCCATACTTACAAAAAATTCCATCACACATTTTGGACTATTAATGAAATGATGCCAAAATATGCGAGTTTTCGCCAAAAATGGAAAAGTCTTCAAACACGCTGGGTTTGGTGTAATCGTGAGTACATGTGTTAGTTATCATTCTTGAGTAAAAACTCTTCCCCTTCTTCTATCACACATTTTCGGGAAAGAAAGGGAATAAAATTTGTTATGAAATGTTATGTTATGTTGAAAATATTTCGCTACCAAGTTATCGCTAAAGAATAATTTCATCTCGTTGGTTGTTCAAACATAATTTTCTATAATAAATGATGCTTTTATCTCGTTGGTTGTTCAAACAATTTTCTATAATAATTGATGCTTTTTCTTTTAAAAAATTTGCGGTAAATTGCAGAATCGTCCACTTATTTGTTTGCCGCTTTTTACAAGGGTAAAAATAATTGGATTTTTTGTCAATTTTCTTTTACTTTTTAGGTGAATATAGGTCGATGTGTACATAGATAAAGTCAAGAGTGTATGCAGTGCTATTTTTGTGCAATACTGGTTTTTTTTTTTTTTTTTTTTTTTTTTTTTTTTTTTTTTTTTTACAGTGAAAATAGGTCAATGTGTACATGGATACCGAATATGTGCAATTCTTAAAAACGCGTCAAGCATTGGGTGATTTTGCACTTTACCCAAAATTCTATTGCAGACTTTCCAACGTGGGCAACTCCCAAATTGTTAAATCCATAGGATATCAAAAAAGGATTTAAAAATTAAACTAGTATTTCAATGGCGTCTTAAAAAATATAGAACTATATAAACTTAAGCAATCTGGAAAATTTTGAAATCAATTTTGAAATCAGCGCATACGCTAGCTTTGGCTCGCTGTTAAACGGGCGCGTTTGCTAGATTTGAAGCTTTTGCGCATACATTTTCGCAGCAATTTTTTACGGTCCTCAAAACGGAATAGTACCCACTATTCTAACATAGGTATTTTGACACAAAATTGGACTTTTTCAGAAACAACATACCAATGTTTGTACATATTTCGATTCTACGACTCAACTTATGCCTAAATATTAAACTTTGTAAAATTTGGTGCGAAATTTATGGAGAAATTCAACAATTTATGTTGGTGCTTTTTTTAGAATAGTTCGAAGAATTAGAATAGTGCGAAGAATAGTTCACTTGGCAAACTTCTTAATATATGGCAACCTATTTTCATTTTTTTTATATCATGCACGAGAGCAAAAAAGTCACAATCATTCCTTCTTTCAAATAATGTTCTTATATTATATTTTTAATTATAATTCTTATTATTTTCAGTAATTTTTTTTTCTTTTCGAATTTCATTTTTCTATTTACTCATTCAAAACTCTGTAGCTTAAAAAAAGTGCATCTTTTTTTCTTTTTTTTTCAAATAGTTTCTTTATACTATATTTTTTAGTCATAGTTATTATTTTGGACTTTTAGTTTAATTGTTTGTGTTTGCAATGTCTCTTCAGATAATTGTTTTAAATTTTTCTATTTATTCATTCGAACTGAGCATTTTAAATATATTTATTAATATGAATTTTCCAGAATTTTATTTTATTTATTTATATTGCGTTTCTTTCGGAAGAATACTTTGTGACCCAGACTATGATACATTTGAAAACTGCATGTATTAAAAGAAAAAATACAATAAAGCACAGTTAACATGCCTTTCAATGTTCCGTTCAGAAAAGATGTACAAATAAGAGAGATATATAACCAACATTTTAACTTAGGATGACTTGTATAAATTGCTTTAAATAGTTTTACGATTATGCCAATTGCTTTACAGAATTTTATCCTCCTACATTTAGTTTCTGAAAATGTTATTCATATAGTAGTCAAATGTTTTATTTTAGAAATTGTAAGAATCAAATATCATAAGATTAAAAAAGTTTTAAATTTAAAAAAATACTAAATTTTGTGCAAAAATTTATCTTTTCTTCTTGGCTTGCTCTTTTTCTTCAGGCATTCTGCAAGTATATTAAAAAGCATCCAACTTTTCGAAACATCTTTGTATTTCTTACATTCATTTTAAATAAAGTTATCACCTTCCATTTCATAAAGAACCACAAACGGCCGAGCGGTAAAGTCGCTGAACATTGGTAGTTCACTCCGAGTTTCCAATCCCAGCAAATGGGTTGGTTGCATGTGTGTTTTCGTGGTGTTTCTCATGTGTAAGGTATATGCCAGCTGGTTTTCCTTAGAACGTTCTTCATGAAGGCATCCTTCCTTTTAGGCAGATAGCCCTGCTTTGCCATAACTTAATAATCCAATTCAATCCATTTCCTCAGTATTTGGTCAGAGCCATTATCATTCTTTAGAGGCTAAGCTTTTTGAAGGCATGAGATGAAAGGAAAGAATAGTTTCATCAAGAGAGAAAATTTATATGATATCCATATACCTTTTAAACACATTAGGATTTTTTGGAAGCAGGAGACTTGAATGCTCTCACGGGAATCGAACCACAGACCTCTCGAATACGCGCCGAGCGTGCAGACCACTACACCATGCTAAGAAGGCAGGAGTAACCTTATATACTCCCCCCTTTTAAAGGATGACCTGTCACCAAATCCTGGTGGTGAAAAATCCTCATTCATCACCTTTTAATTCGGGCGCCACTGTAGAGATTTTTTTTTTTTTTTTTTTTTTTTTTTAAGCAAGGAAAATGAAAAATTAACAATGCGCTCGCCGGGAATCAAACCATCAAACCACGGACCTCTTGAATACGCACCGAGTGTGCAAACCACTACACCACAAAGGCACACTAAGAAGGTAGGAGTAATACCTTATGACGTCACTGGATAAATTCCCGAATCTTCAAATAATTATAATTCGACTGAGAAATCATGGGATGTTTCGTTTATGATACCATATGATGTTGTATGAAGTAATTTAAATTTATATAACCATATAGTTGAAAAACAATCGCTCTTCAATTTAATATGCAATGATATAGTTTTTGTCTTTTCCGTTAGTACTAATTCAATCGCTGCTATTTGCTGGTGTGCACGTCGAAGTGCTTTCTCTTTGAACACCCAACTTTCTTGAAGTAGATTCCCCTTTAAATCCCCCCCCTAATTTCCTTTCTTTACTTCTACATTTGTTTTCAGTACTGACACAAAATTAAGATTTTTCGATTGTTACACTTCCATAAATTTTGCTTTCTTCTCAAATTTTTTAAAATATCCGTTGCATCAAATGCATTTCAGCTGAAGATAGCTTTTCATTTTCTAGACATTTTAACTACAGTACAAAGTCCGAAATTCGGTCATCCATTATCCGGAATGATCTAAAATCCGGACCTCAAAGACACTTTTTTTTTTTTTTTTTTTAAATGCTCATTTGATTTTTTCTTCCGTAATAAAATATAAAACATGTGGAGATTTTCACTTAAGAAAATTCTGATTCTTAATTTCATCACTTAGGCACTAAATAAAATACACCATTATGGAAAAACAATCCTGTAAGTATAAATTTGTGAGATTAGTAATTTGGCTCTGCAGCTATCTACTTGACATACATCTCAAACCGAAACATTCACTTATTTTTATATCCCTGATGCCGATATGGCGAGTCGTTACTTATTATACTTTGCTTTCATCCCCGCATGTTTATCAGTCCATGGCAGCTTCAGTAATAACTCATGCTGTGATGTCTAAACTTTTTTATATTAGTAATTGAATAACAAGAGTATGGCAACCTTTTATGCTAACATTACGCTTGGCGATGAAATGCTCTAAGAAATGTTGACGAGGAAAAATTCAACAAAAAATTTCTTTTCATATGCTAAAAATAGATTTTGTTAACGAAACTCATAGGCCAAAAGATTACATTTAATGCTATTTTGACTAAGA